GATATATAACAGAAAAAGTAAAGATATATCTTTATGGTCATTAATTACACAAATATCCTTACAACAAAGGAAGTAAAAGACTGATTTAAAATGGATTAACTTTACTGGATTGTGCTCCTCCTCATACCTTATGAAATTATTATTCAACTGAAAGCAGCAAGTATTAGGGTGTTTTAATAAATAAAGAGCCCTAATGCCCTAGTTAAATAAATCCTCAGTAATATTAATGGCAAAGCTTCCTTAGACTTCATTGGTTTCAAAATTTCACCAACAGGTCAAAATTCAGACTCAGGACAGAAATTCTCTCAACCTTTTATAAAATCCATAAAATAAAACAGAAGCTTGAAGTAAAAATAAAATGTCTTATAATTCTTAAAGTTGGTATGCTAATTTTTGCAGTTAGAAGTAATAAAAAAGCCTGGGTCATATTCATAAATATGTAAGTTCCAATGAACTCTGATAATCTTACTCATAGACAAACAGAAAAAGAGAAAACTTTATAGTGTTCCTGAAGTAAAGGGGAGAAGGAAGGACATAAAATAATATACAAAACGATGCCTGCTGCAAACATTAAATCTAAGTGATCTATAAAATAACATACACGTTTAGATAGTAAGCCATACTAATTTAAAAATATCAAATGATCTTTATACAGTAAAAATGTCTTTACTTTCAATAAAGAGAGTTGATATAGGTTTGTAAAATTTTACAACAGGTAGGCATATTGCATAAATATGTGCACTGCTACATATATACAAGTCTTCAGGCAATGTACAGTAATGGATATCAGAAAATGAATGTATGGAGTTTAGAACACGTAGACTATGAGCACCACAGTAAAACACCCAGTAGATTAAAATTTACCACCTTAGTTACAAACAAATAACTGTCTTCAAAATACATTCACATGGTCGTAACGTATTGCCTTAATCTGGGAAAGTTAACAAAATCCTTAACATTGCAACATGAGCGATTTTTGGTTGGTACAAATCAATGAAATTCCACCAACGTCAGAAGTTGTACATTGATTTACACCAATTAAGAGTTTGGCCAAATATACTTAAAGCTGTATTTTCAATGCAGCATATCAAGTAAATATTATCATAACGCAAAACATGTATTTTGAGAAAAATGCACAATTATAGAACATTAATTCAGCAGAAAAGTTATAGCCATGTTGTATATTGTATGAGAAGCATATTATCATGTATAGTAATATACTAAAGAGAAATGGATGTCCCAATAGTCTTTTAAAGCTTAGTGTGAACACCATATCCAAATGAGTTTTTCAACAGTGTAAAAGCTTACTAACTAATAAAAAGATAACATTGCAAGTAAAGAAGACTTTGCTTCATAATAATTTCATTGTTATTTGATTACACCAAATGATAAAAATATTCTCACTGAATAATGCTCCATAAAAGGTGTGTCTTTTACCGATGTTTATGATAAGCAGTTTCTATTTCCGTAACTACCCATCACTCAGTCCTGTAGAATTGGAAATCTGGTGATTTCTCCCCAGCAATTAAAAGCTTGCATAGCTTCTAGTTTGTGAAGTAAACCAAATAAACAATTTGATTCTTTGCATGTATTGGTAGCATTAAAAAAATTCTATGTACTTACAGACAAGACAAAAGAGTCCAATTACTCCAAACTGCCCATAACAGTGTGAGACGATTATTTTCCTTAATGCCTGAAAGCTCCTCTAGACCATTGCTCTATGGCTCACGTTACCTGAGAAATGGTACGTCCCCAAGAAGATCATAGTCTGGACAGACTGTAACTTTCCAAGAATAAAAAAAAGCTACTCTTCTCATCTCAGTGGAACAGATTACCTTTTCAAGCATTTCTCTGCAGAGCTGTTCTGAGAAATCATTTAACAAAATCTATAATCTCATTTAGGTTTAGGTCTGAAGATTTAATTCTTGCATTCAGGTGTACCACTTTTACTGTTTATGCTACAAAGACAGCCCAATAATTCTAAAAACTGGCAAATTGGCCAGGAACATAGACACACTAGATCTGTGTAAATTTGCAAATTCTGAAGTAAATTGATTAAACAAATTTGGTTGAATTTATTAGAATGATAAAAATTCAATTATTTAGCATTTGCAATAATTTTTACTTCTAAATTAGACTACCAAGTTATGGAATAGAAAACCACATTTAATCTAAAATACCAGATAAAACATGAAAAAGAAGAACTACCCTTATATAACTTACTCAAAGTTATATATTTAATAATAAAACAGAAACTCAAAAGAGTATTTTATTAGGTCATTTAATTTAGTGTGTTCAATTTTAAACTAACTTGTGATTTATTTTTATATTGGTTTTGCTTTTACATATGAAGTCACATATACCAACAGTTCTAGCACTAAAGGCAATACCATATTAGAAAATTATTACATTTGATGGTTATTAGTCTTTTATTGTAAGTAGTTTATACACTATTGAAAAGCAATTACAGTAGATAGTAAATAATTGTGCAATGTCTTAAAACTGTTTAACAACTTGAAACAGAAAAAAAATTAATTTAAGTTGTAAGAAAAAACGTAATGTTCAAAGCTGTTTGGACATTTTGTTGAAAAAATGTGGACTTCTAAGTCAATAGATGGGATTTTTCAATGAAAATCTGAGATTTTTGCAACTGAAAATCTGAGATTGGTAATTTTTAATCTCCTGCTAGATGAAAATGTATGGATGCGATCACGTGCAATCATAATTGTCCTATGTGGCTTCTTTTTTTCAAGTGTACTGTTAGATAATTAGATGGATTTTGTCTTTGATAAGACATCAGAACCCAGGGGACCATCTGCACTGACTACCGCAGAGGAAGGCAGAAATACAAAAGCCAGCGCAAGTCAGTTAAGATGGGAGATGAAGCAGCTAGAATGCACCTTCCACCTTCAAACAGAGATTCCCATGCTTAGAGCCCGCTTGGCACCTGCATTTTACAGGAGGTAGTGGAGACATACAGATTATGTAGGCATACTCTTGAAATAAAGGAGGAGTATAAAGTCACTTATATGCTATATTTTTCAGGTACCAGATAAATAGAAACAGGTGTTCACCTGAAATTACAACTAGAGAAAATATACCTTCTTTATGGCATTACAGGGATAGATGCTCAGCAACATCCCACTCTGTGCCACAGCCTCAGACAGGGGATCCGAGCTGCTCTCCAGAACCTGACCGTTCATCTGCTCCTTCTTATCAACTTTTTGCTTATTAACATAGTTTAGCCCTTTGTAACTGCACAACACGGAAAACTCACATCCCTTGAGTAGCTGACACTGTAATCATAGTGGCAAGATGCTGTTTGCTATCATTTTAATGTAATATTATAGTAAAACTTACAATATTGATATAGGTAAGTTCTAACGCTATAGATGCAGAAAAGAATACCCAGATATATATGTTTTAGGATATAGTATTACTTTTCAAACGGATAATGTCTTTAACTATTAATATACAAAGTATATTAATAATATTCCAAAATTACTATTCTTTCAGTTCAACTGTATATACTTCTATTATACTATATAAAATGGTGAAAAGAAGTAATTAATTGGAGAGCTAGCACCTACCTTTAATTATGGAGAGCCTACTTCTAGCACTAATGGTCATGCTGCAAATCCTTAGCTTCACTTACATGATAACACTTCATTTTAACTCAAAGAGATGGCTCCATCTCAGAACCACTTCTGGTTTTATTCTGGACCATCGCAGGTGTGGGCCTGATATATCTCATACTACAGCAAATGGGAAAATTTCCTGGGCTAAAGCCGGGTGAGGTGCAACAGCAATAAAAAGGCTGCAGAGGTAGGGAGAATTCTCTGAAATACAGTTAGAAATAATGGCAGTATATTTGTATTATTATTAATTTCTACTCTATGTTATTCTATTTCTTTACCAAAATGTTGTGGAAAAGAGGGGGGTGAAGTGAGGTAAAAATTTGAATCAAACCCTGGTGGGTTCCCCACGCGAAGCTGTTCCTGACCTCCCCTTCACACTCATGTGCTCTTGCTATCTTCACATGTTGTACAGGCAGCAAGGACCTTCATTCTGACAGATCTGTCGCCCACCGAGGGATGTGTGCAATCAGAGAAAGTATGCTTGGTGGAACCAAGACCTTCCCTATGCTCTACCTTTTCACTATAAGCAATATTCTCTTGAAGTCAAACTGCCAATGATATTTTCCTATTTTTTTCCCTCTATCGTTGAGGTTATTTTTGTTACATCGTCTTTTTGCGGTTCGGTATAAAAGGGATTAGCTCCAACAGTCAGCAGTTTGTGCACATACTACAAGTAGGCAAAATTTGTCACGGTGACATCAAACTGCTAACACAAACAGATCCATTACCCTTTCTCTCTTGCTCAGTATGACAGCTGCCCTCAAGGTATTAGCCTCTCAGCCTCCCTGATAAATCACCAACGTATAGGAAACCTGATTATCCCAACAGAGCAGGGGTACAGGATGCTATTCAGCTGCAGAACATGGAAGAACAACATCCATGAGGCTTATAATGAAACATTTTTGATATACTTAAGTAGTTAACAAAAATTTATTGCAAGAGAGAGTTTGTCACTAGATTTACAGTTTCAGAGAACATAGTACAAAACATAGTGCATCAGCTTTGTCTAAACATTAAATAGGTGCGAATACACAAAGATAAAAACCAAAAAGTGAATACTTTACAACAGAAGTTATAGAACTATAAATATATTTTATATACATTATACATATTCTAAGACATGATTTTCACTTATATAGAGAGAGAGTTCATATTAGTATCGGACTATTCAGTGCTTTAGTTATAGTATAGGTCTGACTTTACATGAATGTTTTCATCATTATACTTACAGTAAATGCTTCCCAAGGAACGAGGAATTTAAACCAGTTTATTTCACAGAACCGTTTTGCAAAGCCAAGGGAAATGTAGAAACAGCAGGACCGTTTAGCTGAAGGCTCCTTCCCCCATCCCAGAGAACCTGTCCTAAAAGAGGGGCTGCAGGGGAATGACAGCTGGGTGCGGAGACAGCAGGGATGGGAAGACGGTGTGCGGCAGTGGGGGAAACGCCAGCTGGGTCGGGTGCAGGACCGAGGGCGGCAGCAGCGGCAAATGTGGCGGGGCGACGAAAGCTGTGTGGCCCCCCGGGCAAAGCCTCGGTCCTACTGGTAGATGAGGTAAAGGTGCTCTGGAAAGAGCCGGGACCTGGGAGAGGAACTGCTGGTGGGGCTGGAGAACCTTCAACGTACTGGCGGCGGCAGCAGCGTGCTGCTGGAGAACGGTGTGATGGATAGTGGTAACGGAGGTAGAACACAGTGGTGGCTGCAAGGGTAAGGGCTGCAGCAGGGAATTTGGGGGCTGGATCGCCGGGGAAGGGAAGGCGAACTTCACTTTGTTGGCCAGCATGTTTTGTGGTATGATTTGCTGATACGCCTCAGATGGTAGGTCTTTGAATTTTTCATGGTTATCTGGAGGGAGTATCAACGTCTGATCCGGCAGGGTGAAGGGGGCTATTAACTGCTCAGTAGTTAAAAAGGTATGACTGTTTATATGTGCTTCTTTGAATGGCAAGGGTGGTGGGCTGCTAAATATGCCAGGATTACACTGTACCCATTCGCTGGCCACCTCATTTATTTTCTCATGTGGTAGAGACTCGGCCAATTCATAATGGCAAAGATAGGATTTAGGAGGAGCTTGTTCCAAATGTCTGCTGGGGAGGGGAAATCTATAACGAGCTTGATTTTCACAACTGTTGACATTTTCTTTTTTCTTTTCATCTTGCAGCACATCCTGTGTGCCGGCAGCTGCTGGAGCACTGTGCTCAGGAACAGAAGCAGCAGAACCTGCGACAACATCAGAAAAGTTACTCGGAGCGCTCTCCATCGCTGTGCATGCTGTCAGTTTATCGTTTTCCAGCACGTGTGAACTATCAGTTTCTAGAGATGACTTGCTTTCCTCCAGCTGCATTGTTTCATCCGTATCTTTTGCATGATCAGCTTTGGGATCCACATTAGTTTCCTCTAGACTGTCTTGAGTCAAGAAGTCCCCCAAAATATTTAACGCAGAATTTTCTTTGGAAGGTCTGGAGGTCTCACTTCCTGTGTTCCTGTCAAGAAATACATGATGGATTCTAGTTTTCCTCCTCCTGCGTTTCCCTTTTGCCTTGTGATGCGTACCTAAAGCACGTGCTTGCCTTAGATATTCCTCTGCTGATAATGTCTGTCCATATGAGCTTTCATCTGATGAGGAGGAATAGGTATGCTGTCTCCGCTTGCAGTGGGATTTTTCCGGTTCCTCTGTCAGAACGTTGTAACCTCTCTTTATGGACTGGTTTTGACTTGGACTCTTCTCCTCACTGCAGTGTCCTGAACATTTATGGTCTGGGCTACAGCTTGACCTCCTGACTTTCCAGCTACAACATGTTTTAGAGTACCTTAAGCTGTGCCTCCTGGAACTCAGAGCTAGCTGCTTTGCCTGTTTCCGAGAGCTTGTTTTGCTCTTTCCGTGCAGTCGTTTACAACCATGGTGTTGGCTGCTATTTTTTGCACTCCAAATGTCACACCAGCCTCTGTCCCCATGTACATGATCTGACACACACATAACTCTCTTATGACCATTTTCAATACCAAGTTTTTGATGTGACTGCTGTATCTCACCTGTAGCTAGCCAGATATTCCCTGCATTATGCCTGCACTTCTCTGGATTATTTTGGAGGTGCTGATGTTTATTTTCATCTCTGTAACTAATTTCTTTCTCAGTCACTGAGGACATTTCCATTTCTGCTGATGTTGTGTCCCCACAGTGATGATGATGACAATGACATAATTTTCTTCTCCTTTTCCGTTTTCTACTTTTGTGAAGCCATTTTTCATGGCTTTCTTTGATCCAGACTTTGTTATATTTCTCATCTATCACAGTGTTTTGTCGTAAGTGATTTTTAGAAATGTGATACTTTTCTAATTTTCTAATCCTGAATGACTCATCCAAGGACACTTTATTTTGATTTTTTGCAAGATCACAATTTCTGACGAGGGAAACATCACTTATAAAGGGTATTGTATAGTTGCACACATTTTTATTCATTTCTGTTTCATAATCACCACACTCTGAAGGAGGTTTACCTGTAAAATCCGAGACTAAGCTATGGTTTGATTCAGTTTTATGGTGCAAATGAGGTACATTTGGCGGCTGCTCGGGCTTTTCTTGGCTGTCACTTGCTCTTGATGACTTGAAATCAAAATATAAAGGATTACAGCTATAAGAAATCGATGGGTCTGTACTTGTGTAAATTAACATTTCTGATGGCCACTGAAGAATATTTGATCCATGTTTGCTAAGAACAGGAACAAAGGGCTCACAAGGTCTCTTGTGCATGTCCGGTTTTCTTTGTGGGGCTCCACTACTACTTTCTTCAGACGGTGATGGAACTAATGCATCTGCCCCCAGCTTTTTTGTTTCAGTTTCAGTTGTGGATGAATCACTGTTCCTGTCTTTATCATTTTCCTCCACAACATCCTGCAGAGATAAACAATCCTCCACAACCGCCTGTGCAAGAGTCCTGTTTGCCCGCAGCTCGTAACTGCTGCAGTCCAGGGTCAGGACCTGAGCACTGTCTGCAACCACAGGTAGCGTTTGGTCCGGTAAGTCTACTGCACTTACATCAATACCGTCGCCATTCATGTCTGAGGACACCAGTTGCTTAGAATGGGACACAGGAGGAGTTAATATGGGACTCTCCAGCACCCTGCTTTCTTCACTGGCAAGCTCTTTTGACTCCTGAGCTTCAGGAGCTTCTGCTGTGTCTATGCGTTTTTCCACCAGTGGGTGAAAACAGTTATGTTTCTCCTCAGGGCACAGGACTATTTCTGCCACTGAAGGAGACTGAAGGTTACATGATCCTGGAACAAACCTACTTCTTCTGCTGAATCCATGCTCCATAGACGTTTCGTCATTATATTCATAGAAAACGGCAGCTGAAGACTCCAGTTTCACCGCTGCTTTCTTAGGAAAAGCAAAAGAGAACCCAACTCTATGTCCTTGAGCTCCTTGAACATGATCTCCACATTTGTTAGCGTCGGATTTATTATTACATGCATTTCCAGAAGTGGAAGAAATAACAGAAGTGACGTCTTTACAATTCTGTGCATCGTGCATTAACGTACAGCTGAAATCCTGTTTGTTGGCAGAATCTATGGCAGCACTTTGTGGGATATCATTGCAATGATCTCGCACAGTCACTGTAGTGGATTTGAACATAGGGCCACTTCCAGGAGCACTAGGAAGGAAAACAAAACTTGGAGTCAGTACCTTTCAGAGAACTGCAGACAGAAATATGGTGTTACATTGGTATCTAAGACTTTTTTTTAAGGAAAGAGGAAGAATCTGTGGATACAGAGATTTAGAATATCAAAAAATGTCATCTTTTATAATAAGTTGACTAGTATAAAAAAATTAATGAGTAAATATTGTGCCCCCAGTTCCTTCATGTAAAGTTATCAGCTGAAGGGCTAATATTCCTAAAAGATAGTTCATTTTTCCTAGGCATTAGGCTGGCCTAATAAGAGACTGTATATCTCCGTAGAAATCTTGCTTCTCCTCCCAGCAGACCATCATGGTTACAACACTATTACTACAAATAGCAGAGGTTTTACATTCCTTTGTGCTACAAAATATATTAAAACAGAGAGCGCCTCATAGACCACTTCCCTCTTAGTCATCATCCTAGTGACTGTTGCTCTGCCCACAGGCAATCACCCAGCAGCTCCCATCCTATTTGTGTTCACAGACCGAACCGCAGCAATCTCAGCAATTTCTTTCATGGAAAATAATACTGGGGAGAGTACTTCAGCTGACAGTAGTGCAGTAAGTGATTCATCCCTCTTGAGAAAAAATTTATCACTGTCTACTTCTGTTCTTCATTTCATGTCCTCTTCCCATCTGTTCTATTTGACTTAATAGGAAGCAAAGAGAAGAGCAAAAACTGTTTAAGCTGCCAATTTTCCAGGATCCACAGGAACTGCTCAGCACTAGGAGTAATGGACCTATGTTAAAACATTTTTTTTTTTTTGTTTTAACCAAATTATTCTATGTTACAGTGCAGAGCAATAATAGATGATGGGTCACTGGGAAAACTTGCAAGTGCCGTTTAGGACCCCAAGAAGTGATGAGGTAAAGAATGATGGACTTAATGTATTGGGTCTAGAAATTAAGACAGAGGTTTTATGAGAAGAAATTCCTTATGAGAATTCCTACCTTGTCTAGTTCTTCATAAATTTAAAATATATATTAAAAACCCCACACAGATCCTTTCTTTAACAGAACAAAATGGTGAATTTTACAAAACCAATCTAGAAAATACCAGTTTAAAAAATCCTGTGTGTCTGTCTATATCACACCTCTAAGGATGCAAAGTGGTACCAAACAGCAATTCTTAAATAGAGAAATAAAGCTCAGAGATAAATTCTCCTTCAGGAACTAGAAGAAAGATATTTTTTAAAAAAACCCAAAACCCGGAACAAAACAGAAACAACAAAACCCCACAAAATCTGTGCTTCACTAGCATGGAAAAAGGGAAACAATAAGTTCCTCTTTCCTCTTTTTCCTGAAATATGCTAAATTCAGATTTTGGAGTATGTTTAGGGGGAATAATATCTAATATCCCCAAGTATTAAATTTGGACAGTTAAAACACTGACGGAGGAGAAAGAGTCTCTACATGACTTATAAAAAGGTAAGAAAATAAAAATCAGGTGTCACGTTGCTCATGTCAAACAGACCTCACAACATTCATGTCCCATCCACCTGCTTAGACAGACTTTGTTTCAGCATGCTTCCCACCATCCAAGCTATGGAGAAAGAGACTATTACTGAACAAGAGCTACAACTTGGTTGGACTTCTCTGTTAGTTCATCTGATGAGACGAAGGCTAGATAAAAAGGAAATATTTGCGTTTGAGCATCTACTTTTTTGCTTTTTTCCTTGAGATTACACTGTGAAAAGTTGGTACGTGTATTTTCACTGGCTTGTCAGTGTCATAACTGTCATATTTAAGCGAGAATACAGTCACAACTAGGAACCTCAGTATTAATTTCAACAGTATGTCTAGATGCAATACTAAAACGTATGACTAGCAAGGAGTCACTTTTGCAGAGGGAGGTAAACACTCTGTTGAGCTGGGGAAAAGAAGCACTTACGTTTTAATATAAAAAATCCAGTTACTGAAATTTAAAACTAGATTTCTGGATGCTTTCCCAGGCGAGCAGTTTGAAAACTAAATCACAGAGATCTGTTACATCCTAGAAAGACAGACTGTATTCCTCACCTCATCAATGAAGTAGTGTCAGCCTGCAAATGCATGACCTAGTTCACTCAGCTTTCAACCAATGTGCCTGGTTTTATGAAATATGTATCAAACACATCTTTTTTTAAACTAAAAATACATGTCATTTTAGCTCCACTGAAAAAGCAACGTTAAACATTTATTTCTGCACATAGCGTGAATCAAATTACTGTACACATACTGCTTCAAAAATGCCATAAAAACGTGTGTGTGGGGCTCCAGCTGAGGGACTCCAACAGCCCTGCATCCCACTGCACCAGCTAACAGTGAAGGGATTATTTTAAAGTATTTTTTTATGTTTCAGCAGCTATGCACTTACCATGTTGCCTCTTTCCTTAGTTCAGCTAGCTTGTGCAGACGTTGAAGGGCTTTTTCCTGTTTCCTTTCATCTTTTCGTGACTTAGATGCTACGTTTCGAGCAAACTCCCTCTGTTTCAGTTCCTTCAGTCTCTGCAAGAAATAGTCATATAATGCACACAAAAAACCCAGGGATGACAAATGTTTATAATGACAGTTACTTTCTGGTAAGCACTCATGGCATGAATTATTTTTGAACCTAACCATAGTGACCCATTCAATAAATTTATACATTTCAAGTGAATAATCAAAATATATAGAGATGCTAGAGACAGGTTAGCTAGGTTAAAGATAACCTAGGAAATTTTACTGTAGCTTTTGTGATTAATGTAGACCAGCCTCAGAAGGACAAGGCAATGTTCATCCAGAATTTTGCTCATGACTCTCTTCCCAAAAACCTTCCGCACAGCCTGATGCTCTTTGAGATAGTAATAAAAAATGAGACCACCCCAGGTATTTTTCCGCAAAGCTGCTCTGTAGCCCGTCGACCGCCCAGCCAGTATTATATCTTGTGTTTTTCTGCCTGAGATGCTGGGCATAGCACTTGTCACCACTGAACTGTGGGAGACCCCTGTCAGCCCTTTCCTCCAGCCTACCAAGGTCCCTCTGGACCTGCCCTGCCACGTTATCAGTGTGGTATCATCTGCAAAGCTCCTGAGGGCACACTGTCCTGCCGTCTAGGTCATTACAAAAGACATTAAGGGGTCCTGTCCCAGCAGGGATCCCCAAGGGATGTAATGCCCAGAGAAATCTTGTATTTTGAAATGGGAAGATCTTCCCTTTGAAGGAGCTTGTTTCCTGCTCTTGCTGGTGTCTGACTCAGCAGTTAAGCAGACACTGAGGTTCGATCCAGTATCTCATTCGATTTCATTTCCAGCCTGTTTCTTTGCACAGCCTTGATTCTCCACACGAAAAGGGGATTTCGTTTTCTTTATATCACAGAAGGATAATATGCAGAGACTTTCCTACTCCTCCATGTCAGCAGAAAGTATTCCTGTAAGTCCCAAACCCCATCGGTGTATTGCTCAGTTGCTCAGCGTGTCCCTGATATGGCTCACAGTCTAGACAACATCATCTTATGACATTGTAATCTCATGATTCTGGGAAGAACCCAGTAACTGAGTCACCATCCCTGGAGGTATTTAAAAGATGTGTAGATGTGGTGCTCGAGGACATAGTTTAGTGGTGGACTTGGCAGTGCTAGGTTAACAGTTGGACTTGATGATCGTAAAGGTCTTTTCCAACCTAAACGATTCTATGATTCTGTTAACTTGCCACCATTTTAGTGTCGAGGGCCAAGAGCCGGCCACGAACAGGGGCCATGTGGATTTGCAAAAGCAATAATTCTAACTTCAAATTGTTCAAGGGGCATTGAGAACTTTTCTTATTGCTGGTTGCACATGTTGGATACACATGTAATGGAGTTTGCAGAACTCTATAAGAACTCTTTTCTCCTACTCCTTCTCAATTTTTTATTTTGCTCCTTTTGTGATTTTTTTTCCCTATTCACAGAAAAATATTCCTCATATAACAGCATTCATTTACACACTGAATCTGTCTTTGCCGTTTTGGGTGATGCTAATGCTACCTTGGCAGTCTGTTTAATGCCAAGAAATGTATACATAGAAACACGCTGAGAAAGCAAACAAATGCTTACAGAAAAATGAGTACCACTCTCTATTTTCAATTTTGCATTATTTTTCAAACAACTGGATATTCCTTTGAAGACATCTTTGATAGATACAGTGCAGTAATTTGAAAGGTAATCACTCCTACCATTTATACTTTCTAGATAGAGTTATCAAAATTTGGTTTATTGTGCTAATGCAGTATAAGGTTATAAATTCACTCAAAACTGGATGTATGGTAACTTTTTTCCAAGAAAAAAAGTTTGAAGTGTGAAGCATCTTTGTAGAACATTTCTTACCCCTGTGCATTCTTGTTTTCCTAAAAACAGTATGATACTGACCCTGCTTCCCACCAGCCACTTGTGAAACCTGAAGTATTTCATTTCACAGGTGACTTCTGAGTACTCAGAATACTACAGAAGAGATGAAGTTTGCTCCTTCCCCTCCCCACCTCCAGCCCTTGGCATTTAAAGACAGGATTTCATTCCATTTTGTAGAGCTTAATAATTCCTCAGGCTTTTTTCCCCTCTAACACGTAAGGAAAGAAGTATATGACAAAGCAAGAGAAGAAAAGAGATAAAAGGACACTTTTTCACAAGGTTACAAAGGAGAAGCTGAGGTGTATACAAATCCATAACCACCCTCCAGCAGCAGCACTTCACTGTAATTACTGGGATGATTATAATTAGTGATTTGATTCTGACCAGATTTTGACCCCTTTTCTC